CTCAATTGTTTCTGGTAGCAGCAGAACATCCACTCATTTTCTTATGGGGCATTTTTAACATATGATCTGGAGGCTGGAGATTGGCACAACAGGGTACCAGCTTGACAATTGGTCACCAATCTCTGCGCTGGACTAAAAGATCACATTTTATTAGTGGAGTTTTGGCGGAGATAATGGTGTCAATTTATAGCACATTCATCAATTTTGAAATGGAATTTCCAAGAAATCTTATCGGGAATTCCATCCAGTAAGTGACACTTCATGGCACAAATCACTCCAACGTTGGGAGCCCCCTTGTGAATAACGTATTGGAGCAGTATTGCCTTGAATTAGCATCTTGGATTTCCAGATTTCTTAATGAATAAATAATGCAAAATGGATCCCAAAGGTTTTTCTCTCACACATCATGATAGGAAGCAATAGTTACAAGGCAGTATCACTGTTCAGACTCCCTGCAACTGAGAGTGAGTTCAAGAGCAATCCAATTTTCTTTCAACTGCTGCTGGCTTACAGGAAAGCATTTCCACACGGTTGTTACCTCAGGTAGGTAGAATAAATGCCAGAATGTGTACATGTCAAATGATCTCGCTGGGCACATATGTTGTAGGAAAGGTTTAATACTGTATGTTACAGAAAGTATGGCCGGCTTCCAGACACCTGACTGGTCTCAAAATGTTCCTCGTCTGTATATTTCTTCATGATCATTGAAGTTTTAAACAAATCTGTTAGCAGTTTGAGTGGGGATGATATTTAAGCAAAAACACAAGAGAAAACTACAGGGACCACTCATGATTCTGGACAGGTTCGATCTCTAGGGTCATCTCTTTGTACTGTCCAAAACAACTGCTAGTTTCACAGTATTGCAAATGGGCAATACAGAGTTGCAGACTTTTGCTTTGTGCTTAGGTGGTGAATCTCAGAGTTACTTATGTACATACTCTAGTGCAGGTATACACCATATTGTAACATTAAATCTGGACATTGAGATAACCTATCAGCAAAAATGACGCAGGCAATGTGCTGTGAGTGTTGTTACCACAACAGCAATATGAAACCATCACTTGCGTGTGATCTCATTTTCTACTAAGGGAAGGTGCTGTTGCCTTCACACTGTGCTTACGCAAAGGTTAATGCCCAAATGATACACCAGTGGTTATAGGCAGAGAATGTAGAATATCGGGCACCACACATCACAATAATGAACTGTGAAACACTTTGAAACACTCCGAAGTCGAAGGAGTATTTCAGAACAGAGTTTGAAACAGTTGCTCAAATAAGGAATGACGTGTTTGGAATTTAACGCCATCAACATGGCAAGTGCTGTTCAATGTGACAAAGTTTGGAGTAAAACAGTTTGGATGTAAAAATGGCAGAAGAAGAAACATGCTAAATTGTTGGGTACCAGATTGGGTAGATGAACAAGTGGATCTAATCGGATAAATCACAGGTTAACAGGAGCAGAAAGTAATCACAAAGACATTACAGAATAAAGAGCAAGGTAATAATGCCTTAGTAGTAAAGAGAGTGCGCTTTACTACTGCAGCATTATTTCCTCAGACTTCATTTGAAGAATTGTGTTGTTTTAGGTGGTGGAAGAGGAGACAAGAGAGCTATCTGATATTGAAGTTAAGATGTTGGAATGGGAGTCATTGGTGCCCTTGATATCAGAACTAGGCTGGTGAAAGAGGAGTCCAAAGAAAAAAAATGTTGTATAAAGGATCATGAAAATATGGAACTGACTGTCTAAGAAGATCATAGAATCAGAGTCAATTGGGAAATTCAAAAGAAATATAGCTAGATATGTAAGGATAGTAAGGGATGTGGAGAAGGGTGGTGAAATAAAACTAAGAGTTTTCCACAGACTTAATGATAGAGTAAACTCAATGGGCCAAATGGCACAAATGAGCTTTGTTGTTTCAGCATCAACAGCAAATCATTGTGAGAAAAGGTCAGGGTGGTTTTATTCAGTTGTCATTGTACAATTCACACACAAAAAATCCTAAAGTAATTCATAAAACAAAATGAGATAAAAAGAAGATGGATCTAAACCATGTAAATAGCAGCAGACAGCTAAAATTCATTGATTGTGGCAATGCTCTTATGAAGGCAAAATTAGAGAAATATTGCCATGTTGTGACGCAGAAGGGATTCATGTATTGCATGAAAGGGGATTGTGATGAAATACTTGGTCACAAAAATAATAAGCACAGCCGGGATGCTAATTCTTGTCGTTCACAATGGCTAAATTGGTTGAACTGAAGTGGAATCTCGCTGTCACATTGTGTGTCAGTCCTACTGAAAGGTAGGCATAAAGTGGCAATGGAAGCAGTTAATAATAATCCTTGCAATTGATATAGCGCCTTATCACATCTTCGAGATGTCTCAAAGCGCTTTTGCAAAATATACCATAAAGTGAATTGACTGTATATTTGTGGGTGAAATATATAGTCCAATTATTAGTAGTAATCTCAAATAAAGGGACACAGATGTTAGCCTGGGTCCTTTGCATAACAATGGGTTCCCTGGTATAACAACAATAGGTTACTCTGCATAATAAAGACATGGTTGTTCACATGAAGAAGATCTGAGAACACCTTATGTCTTTTCCAATAGGTCAAGGCCACCGATCAAGATGGGTGCAGCTCTGAATTGTTCTAGAATTCTTCACATATAATTCTTTACCTTCATGTCTTGAAAGTTTAATGTGCCTACGAATTTCAACCTTATGATCAACATCCCCAAAAAATTGTGACACATTTGCAATAAAAATGCACTTTAACTGGGAGAAATATATTGATTACGATTCAATAGCCATATCTAATCTCCTGGAATAAATAACTGTGATAAACTGCAATGACAAGGTAACTCCACACGCCTAATAATAATCCCTCCAAAACCCAAAACAATAATAAATTGGTATTTTTCAATCTACGACTGTTTGTGGGACATTGCTGTCCGCAATTGGCTGCCGCGTTTGCCCACAAATATACAGTCAATTCATTTTACAGTGTGTTCTGTGAAGCGCTTTGGGCCGTCCTCCCGAAGTGAAAAGCGCTATATCAAATGCAAGGATTATTATTATTATAACTGTAAAACATTGTTTTTTAAAAGATTTCCTGTAAGTACTTCCGTTATAAGAAAAACATACCACCACTGTATGAAGCTTTGTGCAGCTATTTTGGTCAGTTCTAAAACATGTTGGTCAGTTCAGAAATCCATTGTAGCTATCTATGTAAAAGCAATCGAAAATCTCCAATCTTCCACACTTTACTGCTGGAAACTTTACTTAAGCTCCCAGCAATTTCAGTCCTCAGGAGTCCAGTGGCTTGTCGACTAAATGCAGCACAAAAGGCCTAATAATCCATTTTCAAAATGTTACTGTGTTACCAGCTGGCAATTTAAGACATGTACTTAAATTGCTCTGAAAATGCAGCGCTGTTTCTAATGGTGCCATACTCTCTTGTTCATGCAAATCTAATACTAGCATTTCTGCTAACCAGTGACTAGCAATACAAGCGGTCTAAGTTACAAGATTTGGATTTTGTGCTTATTTCTGAAATTTGTACTCATCTTAAATCATATTCCACTTCTATTTATTTACTTCTAAAATTAAGTTAATCCTAGAAAGAAACATTAGTCAATGATATCTTGTTTTTTAAGACCTTTTTTTGGTCAGGTGGGTATTTTGACACATGCAAAAACCCATCAACAGGAGTTCCACATTCTGCATGAAAGCATTAGGTGCAGGTTGGCAGGAGTTAGGGCTTGGAAACACAGATTGAGCATTGAGGTATTGCTGGTGTTTAACCAGCTAAATCCACATTGTAAAATAAAATAAACATAATAGTACAAAAAAAGCAAAATGTAAAATCAAATGTTTAAAATGGTCTAAAAATACTAAATCCTGCAATATGCTATGTGTTCTTTTTAATATTTATCTTAAACTTTCGTATTTTTAATTCCAACCTTAAATGAATGATCTGGACAAAATCAATCCTGCATTTTGTAAGTTAATTTTTCAGCCACATTTTTATGCCTTCAATGTATTGCATCTTTAATCCAATGTTCATCAGAAAATATTGAAAAATACAACAATTTCAAAAATATTTAACTTAGCAGCTGCAAAAATCGAAAAGGACATCTTATTAGAAACATACGCAAGCAATACACAGACTTATAGTTTTTTAAAAAAAACTGACAAGAACTGAGCCCCAATGTTACAGATAGCACTAGCAACAACAACAACAAATTACATTTGATTAGCTCCCTTCACGTCGGAAAGACATCCCAGGGCTCTGAAATGGTGCAATATATTTTACAGCAAAATATTCTGAAACGTACTCATGTTAGCGCTAACATTTCAAAATTGAATTCCTAATCTCCAGCTAGCAGCTAATTTGATCGTGGAGTCCTGTAGCTCAGTGGTTAGAGCACTCGCTTTGCAAGCGAGAGACCTGAGTTCAATTCCAGGCAGGGCGAAACCTTGGGCAAGTTTCCTTACTCCACACGCCTAATAATAATCCCTCCAAAACCCAAAACAATAATAAATTAGTCATTTTCAATCTACGACTGTTTCTGGGACACTAATTGGCTGCCGCGTTCGCCCACAAATATACAGTCAATTCACTTTACAGTGTGTTCTGTGAAGCGCTTTGGGACGTCCTCCCGATGTGAAAAGCACTATATCAAATGCAAGGATTATTATTATTATTGATGATTTTTAAAATGCCATTGGTCAATTTGATAGGACACTTTCTTTTTCTAGATTCCAGCTAATAAAGTGTCTTTGCATCTATTCGTAAAAGGTTCAAAAATAGCTTGGTACTTTTTACAAGAGTGTTCATAGTAAAAAAAGAGTTCCACACCACAACAATTAACCCATACTCATATAGCCTAGACACTGAACTAGTTGAAAGGTCACTGTTATGTAAACAATGATAGCATTTGCCAAGCTCGACAAATTCAATTTTATTCTGGAATGATCACCAGATTGGAAAGCGTTAATTCCCAGATCCTGATCCTGATCCTTGAATCTGAATGAGAGTTGCAGGAGTACTGTTTTTTATGCTGTTGGTTTCAGAGTTCTTCATAGAACTTGGCAAAGACAAGATGTGACGTAGTATACTCATAACTTTTCTCTTATAACCCTTGAATGCGAAGAAGTAGATGAGAGGATCAATGCAGCAATTGAAGTTCATGAAGCAGACAGAGACTTGCAGACTCTCCTTGAAGATTTGCACCTCCCAACAATTCTGCTGGTAAATAAGCTTTCTGATCATGTGCTGGATGATGGTGATATGATACGGAGTGAAGCAGATGAGAAATCCTATAAGAACGAGAACAATTACAGTGATGGCTCTCTTGTTTCTGCCCAGTTTTTCGGTTAATGGGTTTTGTTTTGCCATTTTGCAGAGCTTTACATTGACTCTTGAATAACAGAACAGAATTAGAGCTACGGGAATGCAATAGCCCACAAAACAGGCAATGAGAAGTAGTTTAGGCAGGTTCGGATTTGTATCAAAGTTTGGGTATTCCATACAGGTATTCAAGCCATTATTCTCCTTCGTCATTTTCATAAAGAGCAACGGCGCTGTCTGCATGAAAACAAAGACCCAGACTGCAGCACAGATGTATCTCACATTCTTTACTTTCCTGAACTTGGCAAAACGAAGAGGGTGGACTACTGCAACATATCGGTCAAAGCTTAAACAGGTCATGAACTGAATACTGACGTAAGTATTTATGTAGAAAATCACGGTAGAAATCCTGCACAGAGCCTCATCAAATGGCCAGTCAAAGCCTCGGAGAGTGTAGATGAATCGAGTCGGTAGAGCCAGGGTAAAGAGAGCATCAGAGATGGCAAGATGGATTAAGTAAAGGGTAGTTGAGTTGATCTTTCGACGTTTCTGATAGGTTATGTGCAGGGCCAGAATGTTTCCTGATAAGCCAATTATGAAGATGATGATATAAAACAAAGAAAACCCCACTGTCTTTGTCCTGTTGTGCATATAGACATCACAGGTCTCATTCGTGTGGTTATTCATTGTTGCATCAGCTAAAGTAGAATCCATTTTTTGCTCTTTGTTTCGGATATTCTTTCTCCTGTTGAAAATAAAATAAATATCAGTGAGGAAGTTTTCTAAGTAGCATGAAGAAAGATACATTAGTTAGCTTCTGTTGCTCAGACATAACAGGCTAGTCCATGTACACTGTCATCGTTGGTTTGTAAGTAATTAGGACAGAGGAGAACATTAGGCACCATAAGTAAACCATGTGTAAATGCAAGTATACATAGAGAGGTGTCCCTCACAATATAACAACTAATAAAAAGGATGTAGAGAGGCAAGAATACTGGCCTTATGCAAGAAACGTCTTAATACTGTATTGAAAAGACCATAGGGCGAGTTTTCTGAAAGGGTCAGATCAAATTTGTTGAAGAGTCTTCTTCATCCTATTCTGTCCACATGAGATCTTGGAAATGATTTATAGTATCAGTATTATGCCTTAGGCTTATAGTCTATGGATACCCATATATATTTTTGGTATCTTATCTTATATTGTCATACATAGATAGTTTATTCATCTTTGCTTCACTACACTGTGATGGTACTTTCAAAAATAATCCAAACCTTGAGTCTTGATTCTTGTTCTGACTCATTTAAATTAACATTATGCCCTGCACTTTTTAATTGCATTTGCAGTTTTTAGTGTTGGTATACATAATATCAACATTTTCAATATTGGTTATTTATTGGAATAGAATGCACATTCTCTCCCTGGAGGGACGCATACTGCTTACATAATTCTGGAAAGTATTAGGCACAGGTTGGCAAGAGCTAAGGCTTGGGAACTCCACAGTGTTCATTGGGGTACTGCTGGAGTCTACCAGCTAAAACCACATAGCTTGATATTGATATTACAAGCTTTCCTACTGCTTGTTCAGCTAGGACCACTCTACCCATTAACACTTTTGCTTGCAGGGTTAAGAGGAGCTGAGTGGGATGACTCCCTACCCCCAATTACTGGTCTGTCCTTTCAGGTCCTGCTGATGAGTCAGACTGGCTGAGCTGCCATCAGCAGTGTCCTGGAATACTGCTCCAAGAGACCCCACTTACCTCTTCCCCCCAACCCCCTCCCCCCAAGGAGAATAGAGTGCAACTATACGTTAGTATCTGATTCAACCCCACTTTAGGCAATGAGGTGTGCAATCTCATAAAATTTTCTTTTAGGTCCCCTCGTCCCTATCTTATTCTTGATTATGATTTATATGCCAAGTTGTTAATTCTGTGTAGATCTCTCTGAATCAATCAGTCTGCGTTTCCATACAACTATGTATTTGTCTACAAAATACACAGTTACTACACTTTACAGTATATTCTATGAAGCATTTTGAGTCATCCTCCCAACTTGAAAGGTGCTATATCAAATGTAAGGATTATTAACTATTCAGTCAATTTACTTTGCAAACCTTCAAATGCGAATTTTGTTGTCAGAAAATATGAGCAAATAAATATTTTTGTAAAGTACTAATGTTGTATATTAAACAGCAAAATACATTACTGTAACTAACATATCCAAGAAATCCCTAAAAAAAAGTTTTTAAAAATAAGTAACAGCTCCTATTATGTAATTTTCTGTTGGTTTAGTTTGGAATCAATAATTTAGTTATTAATATAGATATCTTGGTCTCACCTTAAAGCTGGAGCACTTTACCCCCGATAGAAGGTCCCTGGTCTAATCCCTGACCCTGATGTAGTTTCTAATCAGAAATGACAGTGGACACATTACAATTGGCCTCAGTGACCACAGGCTAGGGAAATTCTCACCTTAAATTTTAAAACAATACACTTATGGCTCATCTCTGCCTATCCAGGTATCTTTGCTGTGTGGGTGCATACCTAGGTGAACATGTGGTCAAAACAGTAGTCTTGTGTCAACACACCATTGAGGTTAACACACAAAGAACCTTCGGCTCATTAGGGTTAAGAACTGGAAGGCTGCCAGGATCAACACACTTATACCCCAGCCTGAGTCAAAAACAGAAACTGGAGGGCAACAATATTAATAATGAAGACAGAAAGTGAAAAACAGCAGCAATTAATCATTCTTTCAATAACAATCTGATTGTATACTGATACCAGAAAATGTAAAATATCATTCATTCCATAGGTTCTAGAAATCAGAGGATAAATAATAAAAGATTATATTTTGGGCAGGTTCCTGAGTTGAATATTGAATTACTTCAATTAAGATTTTCTTCTAGTTAATCCATATTTGCTGTAGTTGAATGAAATAATAGTAAGAATAACCCTGACCATTGGTTTAGGACCTTTCATGTTGAATGTCCCAAAGCATTTCATGGGATAAAGAGCCTCAAAATGAATGACAAATTTTATTTTGGGGATTCTTGACGAGAACACTGAGGGAAACTCCATTCTATTTTTAAATAGTTCTATAAAGTCCATCTGAACGGGCAGATTGGACATCAGTTTAACCCGTCATCTGAAGGATGGCGCTTACACCAATACGGTACACTCAGCACTGCAGTGGAATGTCAACTTTACACTATGTGGGTTCCAAGTCCTGAATCCAAAGAGTCAATGAGTCCAAATGCAGAAGTTGACATCATTAGCAGCTTTTATTCAATACAATCCATTAGAAATACCAGCATATTCATGCAATGATCCTGACCAGATGCAAAGCACCTATTTTCTTGTCATCTAAAGATTGAACACATTTGCAGTTGCATTATAATTGCATGAAATCCCAAATCACTCTGCATTCATCCCCATTCTTCAGAATTCTTATTTGAAGCATACTATTCCTCAAAAAGCGTCTTTTAAAAGCACTCCGAAAATACAAATGCCATCAGAATGCAGAAGTCCAATCAATGTAACAGCTCCTATTATGTAATTTTCTGTTGGTTTAGTTTGGAATCAATAATTCATTTATTAACTCAATAATTCAATGGCACCAAGATTTCCAAATTGTCAAACTTGCAGTGTAAGCCAAGTATTTCTTGTTTAGTTTGTTTTTACCTGAGATGAATATTGTACAATATTAAATCTACTATAATAAACCACAATCTGTAAGTGTTGCCACTACACTACGCAGTTTTTATATAGCTTCAAGTTGTTGTTCACCTCTACAGCATCAATACTTAGAATTTCTGCCACTCTAAAAATCTGTAATTTTAATAACAGACTATGAGCTCTATGGTCATGGTCTGTTATCTTAGAAACAAAATACAATCAGAACAACTCGAACGACACTTTGTTTCTGCCCTTTCCACCTTTTTAACAGATAGGTAAGAAGTTGAAATCTTGTATACTGATATTATTTAAAGTTTGGATTTTCTTGGGAAACTACATCATCATTAAAACTGCAGGTAAACTGTACTAGTCAGTTATTCCAAAGTGGTTTATATTTATTTTCTCGGCTAAATAAAAAGAAATAGCAATGAGCAAACAAAAAATGCTTGAAAATGCTATGCTACCTTCACCAGCACATATTGTAAACATAAACATAATACCAGTAATACTTTGTTAGACTATTTCTTTTGCTTTGCCCTCTCACCAATTACTGTCATGTTTAGGCACGTGCATTATGTCAAACAACACGGTTGAGCTAGGAGTGTAACCTGGAATTGAGATTCAGTCTGACTGAGAAAAACTATTCAAAGCTAATTCATTTTGCTAAACAATAAAAATCTAACCGATTTAACACCTTTAGTGTTTCCATAGTATTGGTTCTCACCTGCAGTAAAGATTTCCTCAAGAAGCGTTTGGTTCTGGAAAGAGTGATTGATGAACAGCATCAATCATTCAAGAGATTTGCTCTATAACAAGATTCTAAAGCTTTCTTTTCACATGACATTCATTTGAATCTACTTCCTGTGGGTTACATTACTCACTTTAAAACCAAAAATCCCCCTTCCTCCACCCCACCCCTCCCCCCACCCCATCACCACCGATTTCTGTATTATTCATTTCAGATACTCATCATTGCTTGCAATGCATAAAATGATTAATCTCTTTTAATCTGACCTTTCTGTTTGTATTAGCAACATTCTATCATTTTTGCTAAAGTGGGTTAAGTAGTCATTAAATGATAATGTTTTTAATCTGAGACATTTACTGTAACAGAACAAAAAATAATGTGATGATTGCCTTCTCTCCTGTAAATACAATAGCTGGAATTATTATTATTATTGCATACAAACATAATATATATTACTAGTACTGTGGAATCTCCTTTCTAAAAAAAGAAAGTGCCAAAACATTTATATGGAGAACATACTGTCTGATGGCATAACAGTTTCCTTCCTTCCTTGTATTGTATAATCGTTCCATACGATTATATTAAGGGAATGTGTTCTTTTTTCATCATTATTTACCAAAAAGTTTGTTAAGAGTTCACACATTTAGATCTTGGGTCAGATCTGGCATTAGACCTGAGGTTATATAAAGTTATGGTTGTAGTTGACCACAAGGGATTCACTGAGAAGGAATTTGAAGCATTCCCCTTCCAATTAAATCCTGAAGATCTGCTATTATTACTTAATTTATAATAATAATAAAAATAACTATTATTATTGCATACAAACATAAATATATTACTAGTACCGTGGAATCTCCTTTTAAAAAAGAAAGTGCCAAAACATTTATATATTATATACATATAATAATAGTTATTGCATTTCGTCCACAAATATACAGTCAATTCACTTTACAGTCTATTCTGTAAAGCGCTTAGAGACATCTAGAAGACGTGAAAAGTGCTATATCAAATGCAAGGATTATTATTATTAAGGGAAAGGCACTATTTTCATGATCTGATGGTGGACTATCTCCAATCTTTCTGTTAGCACACAACTATATTTTTCCTTGCCATAGCCTCACCCTTGCCTAGTTTCTCTGGCTCCCTAACAACAACAACAAGATTACATTTGTATAGGGACTTTCACGTCAGGAGGACGTCCAAGGCGCTGGACAGTGTACAGCATTTCAGACCTGAACTGGGGTCAGAGGGGAAGAAGGGAGGGGAGGGGAAGGGGGTGACCATGGCACAGAAACAGTTCTGGTCATAGTCACTGATGACATTCTGAACATTTGTGATTAGGGGTCCCTCTGCCCCCTTGTCCTCCTCGATCTCTCTGTCGACCACTCCATCCTCATACACCGCCTCTCCGCTTTACTCAATCTGCCCTTGCCTGGTTTGATTCCTATCTCTCTCACCGTCTCCACTTTATTGCCTCTAACGGTTTCTCCTCCAGCCCCTGCACTGTCACGTCTGGCATTCCCCAGGGCTCTGTCCTTGGCCCTCTCCTCTTTAATATCTACATGCTCCCTCTTGGTGACATTATCCGCAGACATGGGGTCGACTTCCATATGTATGCGGATGACAACCAACTCTAACAGGCTCCAGAGAGAATCAGACAGAGAGCAGAGAGAAAAGGCAAGTGAGGGCAACGTTTCATGGTTCACTGTCAGGACAAACGATCGGAGCTGCCTTCGGCTGTCACAGATGGGGGGAGAGGGGGACCAAGGACAGATACCAAGCAATTGTACCAAAGCAATTTCCTCACAGCAAGCTCCCTCTTTCCCCAGTGAGAAACTCCACTAGGGCCTTTATATCCCCCTCCTCATCCTACTTCTGCAATCTCCTGATCTAGCTATTGCATTTGCCTAGCAAACTTCGGTTTGCTTTGTGTCCCTCCATCTCATCTGCCCCACCATCGTCATTTTGCCCCGCTTTCTGGAGCTCCATTCCCAGAGTCCTTCCAACTCGCTCTCTCCCCTCCCTTCTTTCAAGGCACTTCAAGACCTAACTCTTTGACTGTGCTTTCAGTCATCTTTTCCCCTCCCAGCCCCAGCCAGCAGTATTGAGTGCTTTGAGGCGTCCTTCCAACGTGTAAAGGGTGCCTACGTTATGTTTCTTAAACACAAAAATATTGCTTATATGATCTGTTTTTCTCAAACAGGGCATCTGGCCCTCAGCAGCTTCACATGTGGCATTGAATATAGCAAAATCATATTGAATGTGTTGTGAAATATATTATTGCTTAACATATTATTTAGTTCAGTTCATCCCTGGTGTTTGATCTGAGCTGATGAGAGCAAATACATCTTTCGCTTCCCTCAACCTCGACTTTTCCAGGTTCCAGCAATTCCAGCAACATCGGAAATAAGCAAAAAGAGAAGAACACACTGCAATAATATAAGAATGCAGCTGCAACACAACTGCCCGATATTCAACTTTTTGTTTTTGATTCCAACACCCATTATTATCAGCTTTCCAGTTCCAGAGAATCGAGGAGCAAGAGATGTTCGCCTCCTGGTTATGAACTTATGAATTTTGATATTGTCATTACAGTGATATTGCTATAATTGAGTATACCAGCCAATATTGTCTGCCGTAACACTGCCTATTGTAACGACAACAACAACGACTTGCACTTATATAGCGCCCTCCACACAGGGTAGCATCTCAGAGCGCTTAACAGTGATGGAGCCTGACTCCGAGCCGGGGGGGAAGGTGGCCGTAAGCATGGTCGAAAAGGAAGGTTTTCAGTCAGGACTTGAAAAAGGGGAGAGAGGGGGCACAGCGGAGGGATTGAGGGAGAGTGTTCCAGAGTTTCGGGGTGTAGTGGTTGAATGTGCGACCTCCAATGGTGGGGCAGAGGGCGTGAGGGACAAGCAGGAGTTCGGGTGGTAGATTGGGGAGTGAGGAGGTCGGAGAGATAGGGAGTGAAGGGATTCGAATACGAGTGTGAGGATTTCAAAGTTGATCCGTTCAGTGATGGGGAGTCAGTGGATCCTGGCCAGAACTGGTGTGATGTGGGTACGGAGTTTGGTCTGAGTAAACATCCAGGCGGCAGAATTCTGAATGAGCTGGATTTTTTGAATAGTGGAGCTAGATATTGTAACTTGAATATTGTAACATGTTGTAACCAATGCAAATTTATATGTATTTCTGCCTTATTAAGTAATCAAGCTTTAAAACATAAAATACAAGTGACTTTGGTTCCTCTGTTCACGGGTTCCTGATTTAAAATTCAGCTAAACAGAATAAGATGGTCTGTTCTTGACCCAGGCTTCATCAGAGTGTTCAACTGGCTGTACCGTCGAACCCAACAAATACAATAGATTGAGATGGACAAAACTATCTGTTTGTGGGAAGATTTGCATCTCATAGGATTTGCATTATAACCTTACTACACATGTAGCAAAATTAGAATTTAACAATAGTATCATGACAGTGACAGGAATTTATTTATGCAGTATCAGGATTAAACTCATACGGATTTGACTAGATGATAATTCTCAAGCAAACTACATTTACTGATACATTTAAACCACAATTAAGTATGCTGACTTGTTTGCAATGATGCATCAATGTTTCCATTAAGCTGGTAGTAATTATTATAAACAAGTATGACCACATGAGTCACAGGTCTCTGAGCATGTGTCATGTTGACCATTGAATCACAATCACATCAGTTCAGATAAATGCCTCGATAGCACTGAAAAATACTAAAGCCCAGATAAAGCTCACAATTCATTAATTTACAGTCAGCCGTTCTAAAGATAGAAATTGTAATAATCCTTGCATTTAATATAGCGCCTTACCATTTGGAGCCCTGTAGCTCAGTGGTTAGAGCACTTGCTTTGCAAGCGAGAGACCTGAGTTCAATTCCAGGCAGGGCGAAACCTTGGGCAAGTTTCCTTACTCCACACGTGTAATAATAATCCCTCCAAAACAAAAACCAATAATAAATTAGTCATTTTCAATCTACAACTGTTTGTGGGACACTGCTGTGCGCAATTGGCTGCCGCATTCGCCCACAAATATACAGTCAATTCACTTTACAGTGTGTTCTGTGAAGCGCTTTGGGATGTCCTCCCGACGTGAAAAGCGCTATATCAAATGCAAGGATTATTATTATTATTATGTCGTTGAGATATCTCAAATCGCTTCACAGAATATATTGTAAAGTGGATTGACTGTGTTTTGTGGACAAAATGCAGCAGCCAATTGTGCATAGTAGTGTCACACAAACATTCTTGAATTGAGTGACCACATTTTTTTTGAAGAGGTTATTACCCCCAGAAAGCGACTAGCAACCGGGTTCCTACATACTGCTGGATAAACAAAGACTTACAGGGTAAGGAAACGCCTAAAGTTTTGCCCTCCCAGGGAATCAAACCTGTAAATTAAATTGTTCTCTATTGAACAGCAGTGCAGGCCTTGATGGACCAAGTGGGTACCTTCTACACTGTATTACATTTCTATTATTCTATGATTCTGTCAGAATAGTTGACAGAATGTGTAAGTCATTGCAGATTGATCATTATCATAATACCAAATTTATATAAACTACAGGTATTTTAAATATGACTAGATTTGATCTCCTGAATTGGTCACATCTTTGATCACGTCAACTCTTTTTATCTTATCTGTCCCCAATTTGTCTTTGATTCAGATCATGAGTTGATTTTTTGAGCATCCCAAAATGAGACTTTGCCAGATAAGTAAGAAAGCATTAAATAAGAAAAGGTTACTCATTTTATCAACCTTGCTCATTCCAAAGACCATGCAAATTGTATCTGTTGTATGCTACTCACCCACTTTATCATTCTGCACTTGGGAAAGTTCTGCACAGATCCTTCCTGATTCCTAAAGGTAACCAAGTTAATATATGTAGATAACTTACATAAGCAGTATCACAATTGCATACATGTGGATTTGACTGGATGGTAATTCTCAAGCAAACTACAATTACTGACTTTTGCTCACTTGTTTGTAATGATGCATCAACATTTCTACTAAAATGACAGTGATTATTATGAATAAGTATGATGAACCAATTGTGCCATAGATTTCTGAACATGAGTCATGATGACCATCTTCAAAGTAAAATAAGGGTCTTTATCTATTCCCACATCTCCACTTTTTCAGGTCTCAACTCAGAAGCATAGAGTACATTATGTTCATGAGATATTTGTTCTCCTTAAGTTATCTTTATAACATGAAATGGTCTCCTAACCCAGATGTTCATACAGTACATATTTGGGAGAACTCGTCAACACAGCACAAACTGTTGTTGGACATTAATGCCATATATCCTTGTTGGGAAACAATATTCTGTCTAAGTTTTACCATAGACATTTTAATGTGAAGTACATGCTTCTACTTCTTTGGTCACAGTGTAAGTCTAACAGTCTGTTTACGTCTACGTAATCTGCGCCTCTCACCATTTTAAAAATCTGGATTATTCTTATATTCTCCAATGAAAATGGACAACTTTGCAAGTTACTTCGCATATCTTGGAAATCTACATCCTTGTCACTGTTCTCTGAACCTCTCCAATACAATGATGGCCTTTGAAGCTACAGTACCCAAGTCGACACACAATGTTCCAAAATTAAAATAGTTAGTAACTGTCAGGATGGCCACTTACCAAGCTGAATATTTCTGTTTCTTTGTGGCCTCACCATTTATCTATAAAAGAATAGAATAATATATTTTCTCCATGAAACATAATGGTGAAGTTGGTGGTCCATGTGATATTTATCTGGAAGCGCATCTCTCCAACTTAGAGAACTGTATGAAACCAGGCTCAAGGTATTGATATTGATATTAATTTTCAGCGTTTGTGCAACAACACTTAAACTTTTATACTGTCTTTCACAGATAGAAATATCTTAAAGCACTTTGCAATATAATAATAATATTCCTTGCATTTGATAATATGCCTTTCACATCAGGAAGGTGTCTCAAAGGGCCTGACATGATTTACTGTAAAGCGTGGTGACTGTATTTTTTTTGAAACTGAACAAAGCAGCTAATTTCAACTAATCAGAGACAAAGTGAATGTTGTGGAAACAGCAAAGGTGATGTACAGCACGCAGCATGTAAACGACAATTCCTCCATCATGCATTCAGCATTCAGAAAGTGATGTCAGTGGCAAACTGATGACCCAGAAGTTGGCCATTGCTCAGGCAGGAAGCCAGTTAATCAGTGCCAGAAACCAAATGTACTGCACTTCCAGTATAGAGGGTCAACAGCACACCCAAGCAAACCCAAGCTTAACCAAAGTATAGTATGTTCTAATAAGATTGCTCTGTATGCAGCTTGCACAAAATGTTTACTGATTATGTTTTGTGTTACTATTGTGTTGGGTTCAGGAACACTGCAACACCTAGCCATAAGAAGCAAACAGTCCACCTGCACAATACCCAGGATCAACACAATAAATATCCTAAGTACTGAGCTTGTCAGTTGGCAAGCTATAATTTTATACATTCTGTTAGCACTACATATTGCTGACTTCCAAGAGACAGATGGAGGGTTAGACATATACAAAGCTCACAAAGCACTAAACGTATAATCCCTTGTTCCTGGAAGACCATGAGTAAGTCACAGGTTTTACCCTTCAAATGCTTTACGGGTAGACATCAACAGTAGTGATGTTATTTTTCATGTATCATCCCTTATCACTTCACTTGACATACTGAGTGCCTTTCCCCACCACAGTCATCCACGTCATGGTTCTGATATGTCCGTGTAGACTCTCTGATGGCGTGTTAAAGAGCAGCTCTGCATTACATGTTTTCGTTGATGCTGTTAATATTACCCTATTAACACCGTAGACCAAATTTCACAACCTCAACAGTTACCATGAACAACCCATTTATTGTTGTTTATTTTTATGGCTTCATTTGATGTCTGACCACACAGACGTACTTTCCATTATCTTTGGGGAAAGTTCAAGAAGCCAGTGATGTGAAAACATCTATTAAAGCACCTCGCGCACCTAAAGTACAGTAATTAATATTGAAATGGATCACATTAAATTCTAGATTTAAAGTGTCAGTATCATCTTTTGAAAGTGCTTTCGACGGCAAAGCATTAACTGAATACCAATTTCTGGTTGTGGTGATTGACTCCTATTTGCATGATAGTGCAAATCAAACCAAAATCAATAATATCTCCAAAAAATAGATGCCAAGTGATAAAAAGAACTAGATAAGATTCTGAAATGAGTCTCTATTTGATGATAAAAAATGCCAGTAATTAAAACTTGGTGAAAATTCTAACTTTAAAAGAAGTGATCAAAATAAAGATTTGTTAAAACTGCATTAGCTTTGTAACACTCAATAAGTAGCCTAACTTTAAGGATTTAAGGTGACTCGTGGAAAAAACACCAGCAAAGGTCAAATGGTCTGTTTCTGTGCTGTTGCATCAAAATTGGTACGTTCTATAAATGCTGCAATTAACTCCAGTGTCCTGAAATAGAGAGGGGGAAATCACTATCAATAATTCTGTGTATAAATATTGACTTTACTGTATTGGTGAGGGTGCAGATGAAAGGGTATAGACAGAGATCTGCTTCAAGATGCTACCCCATGTGATGTGCCCTGAGATGCTATCCCGCATGAAGGGTGCTGTATAAATGCAAGTTGCTGATGTTGCTCTTTGCCAAAGCCCCTCACATTTTGATTAAGCTGTTGGTTTTACATAAGCCTGGTACCTAATATTGCACTTGAACCTACAGAATAAAGTGATGATTCTAGGTGGACAAGTAGCAGGAAACTTGTCAGACAATGCTCGTTATACAAAGTTATATAATGCTTTACAAAGGTAAACACCAGCATTACCTCAACACATAATCTACAGCCCTCAAGTCTTGGTTACTGCCAACCTGCATTTAATGGTGTCTGGAACGACGCAGGATGTGTCCTTCTTGGGAGAGAGTGCACATTCCATTCCAGACACAGGGAAATTTCCATGTATAGGTGGCATAAGTACACATGCGGAACTCTCAATCTGATTTGGCTACTCTGATATAGTGATGGGTTTCCACATGTCAGACACCTGGCTGGCCAAAACTGGTATCTTCATGCACTTTGATATGTCAAATAAGCATAGGAAAGCATCTTTTTAGGCGAAGGATTTAAAAATACATCAATGGCAATTAGACAACTTTCCAATTTATCTTTCAATTAAAAAACTGAAGTCTCCATCCTTAGATAAAAGCAATATAAGTCAGAACAATTCAATATTTTGGAAAATGACTTTCATATAATTTAAGAATAAAATAATCCCTACATTTGATACAGCACATTATCACCTCATCAAGACAATTCAAAGCACTTCATAGGATTTACTACAAAGTGTAGTGACTATGTATTTATAGGCAAACTGAGCAGCCCATTTACGGACAGCAATGGCCCACAAATAACCATGAAGTGAATAACCATTATTATCTGGGGGATTGTTGGTCAGGACATCTAGTAGTTCGAGGTGACATCCTTCAGATGAGACATTAAACCAAAATCCTGCCTATTCAAATGGATTTTAAAAATTCTATGGCACAATTCGAAAAGAGAAGGGAGTTTCTCCCAGTGATCTAGCCAAACTAACCCCTACATCTCTTTCAACTTCTCCCGTGGCAAGTTTGGTACTATCCATGGGTATATGTATCTCCTACATTTACTTGTTGTATGCATTACTCCACCCTCAAAATACACAGTCAATCCACTTTACAATATATTCTGTGAAGCGCATTGACACATCTCGACGATGCGATAAGGCTCTATATCAAAAGCAAGGATTATTATTATTATTAATCTGCATTGAATGTCACAATCACATGTACATTTTTGGATTACATATTTGCATACCTGTTATATTTTGTACAATAATATATGCTAATAATGTTCAATTAGATTTACTGACCTGAAAGGCACAATATCAAATGCAAGGATTATTATTTATTATAGAAGCTTTAATGAGCTGAGTAATACTTGAAGATAGATACTGTAGAGATGCAGAGATTCTACATGAAATATGAATGAAGAAATTCCAACTATAATGGTATTGATGGTCATGGTAAAGACATTTTGGAGTATGTGGGATAAAACTTTGGGATTCCAAAATGCATTCTATTTCTTATTTAAGGAATGTATTTAGGAACCCCAGCAGGTGACCCTCCTAGGCAGGTAAGTGGTTTTGAGTGCAACCTTTTTAACCCTGAGTTGACCAAACTTTATCTTAGAAATACCTTAGTAGAAATACCTTCATATTTTCTGGTTTAATTTTGTTTTCAGGGTTTATCTGGCCAGAAGTGCTGAAATCCATGCTTTGAGAATTTTTAGAATCAGCCCAGAGGCTTTGGATCCAGCTTGCCTGAATGCTAAAATTTACTTTTTTGTATCTGCCCATTAGGCTTTGCCTGTCAATCAGTCTGCAGAGACAAGCTCACAGAGCTGAGGTGCACTTAGAAAAATCAGAGAAAAAGGGATGGAAACGTGTTCCCTGATTCAACAGATATGATAACCGAATGGCTTCTTCCTATTCCTTATTCCTATGTTGGCAAACAGATGTGCAAAACACCAAACCACGCGAAGTCTGCTCAATATACTACCATTACTGGAATGCCACAGATTAGTGTACCACTATCATTGAGCCCAGTTACCAATCATAATGTAGTATAACACATTGTTGTCTTCCCAATTTGCAAGACAAGTAAGTTTGTATGTAAGCTAAGTGATGAATTCTTACCTTTATAAAACAGCAATATAAAAAGTAGTAAACAAAAGGCAAAATACTGCAGATGTTGGAAATTTGAAATAAAAACAGAAGTCACTGAAAACACTCAGCAGGCCAGGCAGCGTTTATGGAGAGGGAGGAAAGTGAGTTAACTTTTGAGGTTGATGGCCTTTTGTCAGAACTCCTGAGTGTTCCCAGCGACTTCTGTTTTTATATAAAAAGTAGTTGTCATTTTTGAGGTGCTGAAGTGGTGTCAGGAGCAAAGTCCCTGTCAGTCACTGCTCGCCACTCCTACCCCGCCCAACACACACATAACACACAAACCTGACCAGATAGGAGGACAGGTCATAAGCACCAGAAGCTCTTCTCTCCCCTGGTGTACTACTATGTGTGCCTCATGTCACCTGCAGGGCATGGTTGTGGATGGCAGATTTTGGAAAATAGCTGTTGGCAGCATGAAAGCAGCATGATATGCTGATAGAAATCTGGGAAGGTTTCCAGCCTTCATCACAGTCTCATTCAGACAAGCTGTGAGGTGGCACAGGAAATTCATCAGGTGGCTGGACACACCAGGGAGCTGGCACTGCCAAACCAACAGCTTATTCTCTGTATCCATGAGATATAAGGTCACCACCTGTCCAGTTTGAGACCAGGAAGTTTACCTTTTCATCAGCTGTCCAGAAAGTATAAAAATACACTAAACATCAAAAGTTTTTTTATTTGCCAAACATATTCATATTTTCTCCACATATCCCATATCTTAGTCCATTTGTTATTTGGGTTGTTAAGGCTTCAGTTCGTTTCTGTCACTAGTAAGCAAGACATCCAAACTTTTACCATGACTCACCCATTGCCTGGCGCTGTCCTGGCACCGATTTGTTTTTGAATTTGGCGAGACCTGATAGCCTCTTGCAGGTCCGTGCTGGCCTTATTACAATATTATCTTCCCAAGCTTGTTTGGCGCCCCCAAAGCCTCTCTGTTGGAGGATTCAGGAAATTAGGTCACATGCCCTGTGGTGGGTTCATCTGACATCCGTCAGACAAAGCCAAGCTTTCTTCCCACCCCACAACTAGCAAACTGTGAACCTACATGGGTTGCTGGGTTGAATATTGCAAGGAGCATGAAAGGGCACATAATAGGTTACCATCACCATAAGAAAATAATAAAGATATTAAAAACACTATAAACAACAACAACAAAATTACATTTATAGAGCGCCTTTCACGTCAGGAGGACGTCCCAAAGCGCTAAATAAATTATTTTTTCAGATTTTATTCATCTTCTGTAAATTATTTTCTAGTTTTTCTTCCTGTCTATTTATATTTCCTTCTCCCCCCTTCCCCCAGCTATCATGGCCCAAATATGAGTGATTGCTAGTTTGTGGCTGGTTTCTCAATTCTTCCTCTCTTTCTTTGGGGATGTGCTTGACTCTGTTCCTCACTTCAGCCTAATAGCTACTGAGATCATATGTTCACCGTCTAAACAACTATGGCTCAAAGACCAATTTCTGCCATTCTGTGCCACATAGTGCTGGAATTTTCCCTCACTGTGTCAGCAGAGTCCTTAAGTTTCCCTTTTTTACAATTCCTCTTCTCGTGTTAAGATACTCCCTTTAATCTGAAACATGACTTCTCTGCGGAACCTCACCCAAGTGGTTACCTTTGTATGAGCATAGATGGTGAAGTTAAGTGACTGTTGGGTGCACCATGTGATCCTGTCCTTATTCATGGTCTTAGCGTTAATCAAACCTGTGACTCTTCTTGTTAACTTTTTTTAAATTTAGTGCATCCAATTCATTTTCTAATTTCTGGACTGGCCTTCTCTTACTGGGGGGAGGTTTCACAGCAACCCCCCCACCCACAACACATAGCTCTGGCCAAAACCAGCAAACTCAACAAGGACTAGGAGTCAGACCAGCGATTAGCTCCAGGTCTACCCATTACACAATCAGGTCTGCCCCTCTGCAACCTCAGCCTGCATGGTTCAGTATCACTTTGAGAGCAGCTTTACTAACTGAATGAACCATTAATCTTTAAAAGAGGTACTCGAGAAACTAAATTCACAACCCAGGAGGACTTATGGCAAAAGTATTGGCAAAACATTTCATGAATATATACTTAGAAAATCATTTCAGAAAAAAAGTTTATGTAAATCCATAATTGATTTACTGACTTTCACACTTGTATTTCTGTTTGCAACATCAATTTCATTTGTGAACATATTCTACAACCCCAGCTTGCTGCAAATTTGCTGAGCTGCAGTTATCAATGTAAATGCTGTTGCAAATTTACCTTTGAATGCGCAGCACTCCAATAACGTTTTTTTGTGTTACTATTTAAGCTCCTACAAAGCATTCCATGAGCTTATTTTTGTTAAGATATTTGTTAATCAGTTTGCACAATTACCCCCAAACCTGTGTTGCTACAATGCCAGTTCTGGGAATGCACACCAAAAACGATTTACATGCAGGCAACCTGGTTTTGGCATTCCTGCAAACAACAAAGGGTTTGGGATATAAGTGTAGTACCACAGACACACAAAAAAATCTGTAAATTTGGATATAAAAACTAAATTCAGGTGAAATTTGGAGGAGCCCTAAAACAGTGTGGACAGGGTCACTGCTGAATAATTATTGTTTTAATTGCAGACACGGTGTTGCAAATTAACAGGGGGAAATTTTAATGGAAGCGTAATGGTGCTTACCACCTTACCATTCTCCCCTCCAAACGTTTTTTCTTAAAACTCATTCCCTTCCACACAAGTGATCAGCACTATGAAGAATTGTCCCATATCTGTATTTGATGTTTGTTTGTGGTCAGAACAGTCGATGCAAATGTGTTTTACCAAAGACATACTTCCTTTAGAAAGAAACAGTCCTGATGAGATTCAGGGAAACATTCACCAGAAGAGCTCTTACTGCAATACTTGCGATTTTGTAAACAAGAACAGAAGTTGCTGGGAACACTCAGCAGGTCAGGCAGCATCTCTGGAGAAAGGAAAGTGAGTCAACGTTTCGGGTTCACGACTCTTCGTCAGAACTTGTGATTTTGTGTTTTTCATTGCAGGAGAATATTTTTATTATTTCTTATTTTTTATATTTTTAATAGAATGGAAACTGTGTTGTGAGATACCCAGACTAATCTGATTGCTAATGAAACTAAGTTTGGTATCCACAATAATGTGATTTTAATAACAATAAGAAAACACCAAGGTCAGTAAAGTTACCAACTGTTAAGAATAAGACACTGCAAATCTGAAACAAGGTCAGTTCATTTTTTGGTAATGCTTTTATTCTTTTCCTTTATTAAAAAAGGTCAATTTAAAAGGACATTGATCTACAATGAGATCTGGTATGCAATATTTACAAAATATTGAGGCTACTTTCACCAGCTTGAGTAATGGGATTGATATTGATGATTCCCGAAAGCTGCAGAGGGTAGGAAAAAAGTCTGGAGAGCAAAATAACTCACCATGGTGATGGTGTTTTACCCTTCAGGCTTTTTGTTTTGCACCTTGGCAGCATTTAGTACTTGCCCACACTTTGTTGAACTTTGTACATTGATCTCCCCCAACCCCTAATTCAACATACAGCGACCTAGATTTGGTATTCATTGGCAATTTTACTCAGAGTGGTAAGAAAATTGCCAGGGTGGGAAATAGAAAGAATACTAGTAGTGTAACATAGATGTAGCACGTCACTGGTTAAGGTTAAGGCACATTTTTGAGGCAGAGTAGAGCTCCTAATGCAGCTGCAAGATTCTAATAAGTGGATGCAAATGGTTCAAGAGCAGGAAGCAGCACAAAGATGAAACATTTTCTCAATGACAAAAACAGATTTGTGTTACTGAAAGAGTTAATGCTCCAACGACAAATGGAACTATTGTAACTTTAATTTCAATATACGGATGTGGATACTGAATGAGGTCAGAATACGTTTCTGATTGTTATCGGATTATGTAGTGACAATTTTTATTTCCTGCAAGAAAGTGAAGATGTTTGTTTAGATTTATATGAAAGAATTTGAAGTTGTTTAACGGCAAAAAAAAATCTTTCACTGAGAAAATTATATATCGTACAAGATTGCCCCAGATATGTACAGCACAAAGTGCGTGTTTACATTGATAAGCACCAGCCTGCAAGTGCATAGTGTGACTGTTTTCCAACATAGACCAGGAGTGCATGTACTATTTTTTAAAAAATCTCAAAAGTCTTAATTATTCTGCTATATTTTAAGGGAGTCAATCATCACTGGTGAGGTTCCAAAGGACTGAAAGCAAACAAATGTAGCTCCCTAAAATAAAATAGTTTATTTAATTTAGTAACCATCCCAATGTGCTGGACAGACCAGAGCCCGCTGAGCGGACATGTCTCTATGGAATTAACAAATCACAGAGTTAGGAAGGTATGAGGCCATGAACTCTATCCGCTGGGGGATGGGAAGCCAGTGGAGCCAGGCAAGGATGGGCATGATAGGATCAAGGAGCTTAGTGCAGGGTCCAGTGTATCATCATTAATTGTATGTACATAATCAAACAAGTAACATGGACTCAGAAAAGATATATCTTGTCTGACCTATTTAGCCTTTTGAGAATATGGCATCCCAAATTTACTACAGGAAACCATATGATATACTGTACCTAAACTTTCAAACGACATTTGTAAAAGTACCACATGACAGACAGCTTCACAAACTGGGTTCACTGGCGTAGCTAGGAATGGAAATGAGGGTGGATCCCAATTTTTTGGGGTACAGGAAATCACCAAAAAGTCTGACGTCTCAGCAAATCATTTATATTGCAAATAATTTAAAACAATTAAAAATGAAAATAACAGAAGTTGGAAAACATTGCAGGTTTGGCTGAGTTGGTGGTTCATCAATATTAGATAAATCAGAAGGCCAGCTTAGAGTTTCCTTACCCTTAGAAGCAGCAGTAGTTGCAGCAGGACTCGTCCCACATTAATTTTCGCACAATGTCATTTCCATTGCTAAAGTAGATGTTGTTGAAGAATTTGCAGATTTAGAACAGGATAATATGTCAGTTCATTTTTGTAGATTCATTATCTGTCTGTTGCCTTTTTAATAAATTAAACAGACTCATTCGTTTTGCCATGTTGACTGCAGCACTCCTTCCGATGCTGACATACCTGATGTTACCCTATTACCTCTGCACTGATAGAACTGGGAATATTATTAACTAGAAGATGAAATCTTCTTGAAATATCCAGATTTTACAAATATAATTAAAAACTAGATGTGTTCATATTTCATATTTTTCTTATTATTCATAAAAACACTTCCCAGCTTCTTTGTATTGAGTGTTTTATACATTTGAAATGAATGAATATCATTTTTACAAGAAAACTGAAGTAACTGAATTTCATTTTCATTCAGCCCTCAGGCCTCTTTGTGCTGTTCGGTGCCCATGAGAGGCGGCGTAGAGAGCGATGACAAGAGACATAGATTCAAAATTCACTGAGGCGCAGGAAGCAGACAATAATTGTTAAGGGTGCTAGGTCACAAAGCGGTGAATAGGGGAAGTATTAAGTGGAGTGTCTCAGGGATCGGGGCCTAGTGGGACCCTTCCTGTTCTTTGTAAATGTTAATGATCTGGTTTCAGAACAATACTTCAGAATGCATTGAGACAGGAGAACAAGAGGACACAAACTTTAGTTTGCAAAGGACAATTCAGGGCAGCGACTAGAAAGTACTTTTTTTACTCAGAGAGTAATTGATGATTGGCATGGGTGGAAGGATGGTTGAGATCAACCAATATTGGACTCATTTAAAAAACAGCTTGGTGCCATGATGGGAGGATGGTACAGTAGGTATTCTGGAAGGAAAAGATCAGATGGATTGAAGGGCCTACTTCATTCGAACCTT